TGTGTCCATATTATCACCCAACAATTGACATCAAAGTGGGGATTTTGATCAAAGTATTGCTACTACAGAAGTTAAGGATATGGTTCCTTCAATCCTAGTCGAGTTTTTCTAATTGTTTAGGAGCTTATGGAATTCAATGAATTCCAATGAAACTATATTGATTTACTAATGTTTGATTATTCATTGTTTGCATTACATAGATTAACTTCAAGTAAAACCTGACTAGTATATTCATCAAACATTAATTTTATTTAAGATATTCTCTGAGTTTTGATTCATTCAGGATTGAACTAACAACATTAAGGTATGTGCAGTCTGTAATTGACACCATGTCTTAAAGGTTGTTCCAGATTGATCCTAATTTAAGATGGACATACATTCACACAATAACATGTTGGAAACTTTATGAGTCAAAAGAAGGAAAGAAAAACATCTTATAAGTGACATATTCTTCCAAGGTTATTGTAAAAAGAAGATGAAGACGGTTTTGTGGATGTTGTTAATGATTCTCTGAAGTTTCAACAATTATAAAAAAATCAAGGATAAAGTATACTCCTTGAAGTGATATTAATCATCAAAAAATTGAATTAGTTATTTGGGATTGATAAGTTATTTCAATAATGGATAATCAAATCATCACCGTTTAAAGTTCCTCTAAAGTCTTATAAAGGAGAGTCAGATAGTATTCTTCAGACGTGTAAAAGGAGATTGTATCCAATTAAGTATATGGCTGTTTGTATTTTAAAGCTTATGATATTCTTGTTTTTTATTACTAATTATTCTCGTGTGTAGAAATTTAATCCTAGACCGTCTAAATTAGTATGATCGTTCCAACCCTTCTTTATTCTTTTTGTGTATACATAGTTGTATTTATTCAACTGCCTAAATGTGTTGTATGTTTGAAATGTGTTTGTGTTTGTGATGTGTTTGTGCATTTCATGCTCTAATCTTTCAATCATTCAATACATCAGTTTAATTTTTATTTCGTCCGTTTATTGCATTCATTTGCATTATTCATGCATTCATGCACCATCATTCAATTTTGTGAATTAAAGTTTTTTTTCATTCGCATCAAATATATTTTGCATTAAAAATCATTTTGAATATTTGCATTAAAATGACTCATTATTTTTAATCATAATCACATTCATGCGTATTATTAAAATTCAATTTTCATTTGCATTAAATGCATTTTAATTTTTTTTTATTATCACTGAAAACAATTTTTGAATTTCATTAAAACAATTTTCTCATGCGTTAAAATAACTTTTCTTTCAAAAATATGGGTCATGATTTGAATCATGAAGAAAACCTGATTCGAATTAAACAATTGAAATTTCAAGGTTTTAGGCGCTGTTGAATTCTAATTCGAATCACAACTATAATGTGATTCAAATTAGAGCTCATTATTTGAAATTTTTTTCAAGTGCACGATTCAAATCACAAATACAATCTGATTCTATTTGACTTATCATGAATCCAATTATGTCTTGATAAAACATCTATGTAAAGAGTTTTGAAACCCCTTTGTTTAAAGCACCTTTGGTTGTCTTGTGATTGACTCGCATTAGAAGCAATAACACACTTAGTAAGATAATGTATTATTTCATTTGGTTTAATTTATTGAGATGTCTCCAAGCTCTCTTGTTTTTGTATTTTAGTTATGTGCTTATTAAAATCTTTGATTTTCTATATGTGACCTATAATGTTTTTAAAATTGTCTAAAAAGAAAAAGTATATTCAATCCCCCTTTTAGACCTCTTTGTGACCATATTCTCATCCAACATAAATCTCATGCTTTGAAACTGGCTAGTTTGAACAATATGTCTGCCTTTGAATTGAGCTCCATCAACATGTGATGGATCTCCGCCTTATGAAGTTTGGCCACAAAAGCCTTTACCATCTCTAAATATTATGGAACAACTGTGTCTTTAGCTTTGTACTTTCCTCTTACTTTTAATGTAACCAACATACTTGTTCACCGCCTCTTCGACTCCCATCTCGAGTGTTATGCGCAATCTAACCAAGCAAGCCTAATACTCTACTTGGTTGTTAGACATTGAGAACTCAAGCCTTATTGCGACCTCTGGTGCGAGGCCATGGTCGCTCTCCAAAATAAGTTTGACTTCACTACCTTTAGTGTTGGAAGAACCATTCATAAGTATCGTCCACCGTAAAAAGTGTCTAGCTCCTTGAAGGTGGTTTATGCGATGAAACTGACCCAAGTTTCTACTTTGAGCGCTTTCGACAATTCATAGTAAATATCAAACTTTGAGATATTTATGTCCCATTTTGTCACCCTTCCTCCAAAATATGATTTGAAAAGTATTTATATGATGGGATAGTTTATCCTTACTTGAATGAGACATGCTAAGAAATATTTGATTACAAGGGACATATAGATTTTCTCCATCTTCTAATAGCGCACTTCTAGCTCTTGCAATACTTTAGGATCCTATAATACTCCATTTTCCCAAACCAGGGCGACCCCTATGGTTTTTAACGATACAAATAAATAGATGAAAAATGTTTCGGTGTCATCGAGATAAACTAGAGCACATGGTTGCGATAATACCTATTTGAGTTTTATAAATACGGTTTCACATTATGTGGTCCATTCATATGCGATATATTTCCTAAAAAAATTATAAAATGGAAGGCGTAATGGGTAAATATGGAGAGAATCGTGATAATGAGACCCACATGTTGATTAGTTCTTGAGTCTATTTCTTGGTTTTTAAGGCTACCGTGTTAACCACAGACAAACCCTTATCATGGTTAACTTTGATTCATTTATTTGTGAGTAATTTCCAAATATAACTTCATCATGATTCTAAAGGTGCATTTTTAGGGTTTTAACACATGTTGTATTTGTCGACTTCCTCGAATATGACTTCTATGTGGGTCGTATGTTAGTCTTTCTTCTTCGATTTAATAGTCATGTCATCCATATAAAATTCTAACATGCATAATACTTGGTTTTTAAAAAAATGCGTTCGTCATTCTTTGTTATGTTTTACATGTTTCTTGAGGCCTAAAGACATGCCTTTGTATGCAAAATTCCATGAATTCACCATGAATTCCATTTTGTTGCAGTCACTGGAGTCCATCAAGATTTGGTTGTAACTTGTGTATACATTTATGAAAGAGTGAGTGTGTGCTCTATCGATTCCTCAAGGTTTGCTCAGAGACCATGGTTTTCTTTGATAATTGATGCTTTGTTAACAATGCCAAAAACAATGTGCAATATGCAACCAAATTTGATTCAAGCACCATGACCCAATCCAAAATAATATGAAATTTCAGTTTCAAGTGTATTGTTGATGATACAACACACATGGTTGTTAGGGAAAGATAAATGTTCCATCAGAGAGGGGAAAATAACCATGCCCAACATGATATTGGATTTGGGTTTCTATATTGCACTATATGAGAAAATTTTAAAGGCAAATTTTCCCAAACGACACACACTTGTCTGTGGACGTAGGCTATAATGTGGATGTCGTCACACCAGTTGAAAATCCCTTCAGAGTGTCGGTATGTAAAAAAAATGGAATTGATTTTCTCTTTTTCATCTCCACCTTCTTGGAGCGATTTCTCCAACTTTGCTCACGCCATACTTCATCAGTGGAAGACTTATTTCACTAGAATGCACCATTTGGGCTTGAGAGAAAAGAAAAGTTGTTGAATGTTTCTTACAACGACACCAATGATCTTACAATGATTCAGTACTCATAATGAGTTAGTGGGCTTGGATCACATCTTGAACTCCGACTTACAATAAGTTTTTTGATGCTTTCCACACTGCATCGAGATGAAGAGTCTATCTGTAAACACTCAGACGTCAAGTCAATGACTATCAAAATTTAGAGATGTTTTATAATTAGAAGCATGTATACTTAAGATTTTGCCTCCCTTTCTCTTTTATAGTCACCTTCTAAGATTTCAAGTCTCTAGAACTTGCCTCTTGTGACATTTGTCCTTAAAAGTTTTTCGTCCTTTAATCATTCCTCCTAATTTGATAACACTTGGTACTCAGGAATCAAAAGAATATTTGGACTTTTTCCTTATAGGCCAAAAGCCTTATTGGACCATAGCTTAATTCGCTGGTCCGGGTGAAAACAAGACCCAACCCGACCCCATAAACCCCTACGTGAAAATGGAAACCAAACATCTTTAACATGAAAAAGGAAAGAATTCTCCGGGCTACGCCGAAGCCCTAACCAAGCAAACGCCGAGACATGGATTCGATTAACCTATCTCTTTTTCTTGAGTTTTTCATTTCTGAATTTCTATTAGTTTTCTAATTGGTGTTCGATTTATGTGAATCAGGATGATGACTGATTACAAGGTGGAGATGATGAATGATGGCATGCAAGACTTCTTTCTGGAATTATACCACCTAAAGATAGTCAAGTTTTTATTTTCTGCATCCCTTGTATCAATTTTGACATCAAACTTTGAATTTTCTGTTTAAAGATGAAATTCAAGTGGCTTTTTCTTCTTTGATTTTTTCACTTACTTTTATTGGGACTCATTGCAAATGTTTAATTGTTAGTTTCTTATTTTCATTCAGATCTTGTTAATGTCTTCCAACTGCTTCTTCCTCAACTCCTTATAGACCCCATTGGATGGTGATGCTGCTGCATATGAACAAAAAGTCAAAGGTAGTAATCTTTGTTAAATCTCTAAAGTATCAAACTGCAATGCCTGTTATGTGCTTAGGTAATCAAGGTTACAAATATGAGAGTTTCTTCATTAGCATCACAAATTAGAAACCCTAGTAGTTTATTAAGATCTTAAATTAGAAACCCTAATAATTTATTAGCATCATAAATTAAAAAATGGTTGTGTTTCTATGCAGAAAATATTGACAATCATTAACTAGTTCGGTTACGACGGACTATTCGGGGGAGTGCTTCGAGGGGAAGTCTACATGAGATGAGACAATTTTAATTTAGAGATTAGATATGACAATTCTTTTAAAAGATATTATTAACTTAATGTTTTTTATATATCTCATGCGCATGCATATTAGCCGTGCATGCATATTGTCTACCCATTGCGTATATACAATTGTCCACCCATTGAGTGTGTGAAAACATGTGTTGGGTGGAAATAAATGGTGGATGGCCCGATAGCGGAAACCTGATAGCAGGTGGCCCACCGAATCTTAAACGAGGGAGGCTCTTGATACCATGTGAAAACATGTGGTTGGGCCTAACTCAACTCTACAAAATCAACTTGTAGGGTGAGGATTGTCCCCACTTATAAGCATTTGTTCAAGCCATATATTGTCCGAGGTGGGACTCTTAACAGAGTGAATCTTACATATTGGCCTTATGATATTTTAAACAACATATATTTTAGGGATAGAAAAACGGGTTGGATCCACTGGATTGGTCTTTACAAATTTCACATTACAAAATTTTACTATATATATACATATGTATATATATAGTAAAATTATTTTTTTTATCAAATCATTATTATATTTTCATCAACCTTGGTAACTTTGAATATATTTGATAAAATTTAAATATGGAAATACCCCTTTTAAGATCTGACCCGATACATCCTCCTAAGTTTAATTAATCGTTTGAGTCAAAGATTGATTTATCGTAGATTTGACCTAATCGATTTGGGCTTTACTGGGCCGGGTTAAAATGAGTCTGGCCCACCCAATTAACAACCCTAGTATTTAGCATTATAAATGGTTTGATTTTTTTTAATGTAATATTTTTTGTTTAGAACTGAGAAGTACCCTGAGAGAAGAGGAGGGTTTTATTCTCATTATCTCTCAAGCTGTATTTCTCATCCTTTTGAATGATACTTCAAATTCAGCTCGCATTTTTCACTTGCAGCACCAGTTAGCACCACCACCGCCACTATCAATTATCAATCATTTTCAGGTTTCAGCTTCGATCTAGTAATTGTATCTATCTCTTCACACCATCCTGAAACCCTTCATTTCATTGCTGTCACCGCCATTTTTTGTGATGTATTAATTTTCAGCTAGAGGTCTTGATCATTAGGTAAATCTGCTCATAAAATACCAAATGGTCACAACCCTTCATACCATTTTGTCAATTTTGTGTATACTTATTATATCTTGATCAGCTTTCACTGTAAAGTCTTGTTCTGTGTTTGTATCATCAGCATATACAAAAGGGCAAGCTAGAACTTCATTTTTTTGTTTGTTTTTGCCTCCTTTATTTTTGAGATCAAATTCAAAACATATCAAGCATAGGAGTAGAGATTAGAGAGTCAAAAGCCATGGCAAATGGGTCTTCTCTTGATCGCCTTGAAGCTGAAACTTTTACTGATTTTCATGGAAACGGAAGTTGTCTTGTTGAGGATTGTGTTGATAGCACTGATCATGACAAAACTAAACAAAAATCTTTGTTTTGTAAATTTTTTTCCGTTTACCTAAAAGAGAATTGTAGTAGAGGCGATGTGAGGCATGTTCCGGTGATGCTCGGTGACGGTCAATTGCTTGATTTATACCAACTTTTCTCCCTTGTAAAGAAAAATGGTGGGTATGATGTGGTATCTAGAAAAGGGTTGTGGGATTCTGTGATAGTTGAACTGGGTTTGAACCTTCATGTTTTGGCTTCGGTCAAATTGATTTATGATAGATATCTAAATGATTTCGAAGGCTGGCTCAGCAAAACCAATCCAAAGAGTGATGGTAATGACGGTGAAGAAAAATTCTGTAATACGGATGATGATGTCTTGTGTGTGGAAATTTCTGCAGAGGAATTTCATTCTCCCAAATGCAAACGGGAGTCATTATCCGAAATGATAACCTGGATGAGGGATATTGCAAAACATCCGTTTGATCCTGCAGCCCAACCTTTACCAGAACCTTCAGAGTTGAAGGGGTGTAGAGGAGGTCAGAACTTCTCTGTTCAGATGCTAAAGGCAAGGGACGTTCTCTTCGTGAGAAAGCATTCAAAACCAAACAGTGGATCATCTTCCCAGGTATAATTTCAATGGATATAATGATTTTATACATGATTTTACACATTGGATTTTTTGTGTTGTTTCATATCTTGAACCAGAATGTTTTCACATGAATTGGTAGTTATCTTTTTATTGTACTATTTATTTATGACTGGCAATACAATTTACTTAATTTGTCCACCCAATATATACTTGTAATCCATCAGTTTATTTCCTAAAATAATACACACATTCCAAAATCTCAGCTTGCTAACCGCTAAATGTCAACAAAGGTTAATGCAATAATAATGTACGGAAATTGGATACATTTTTTTGGTGAGGTCTACAAAATGTCTGCTCCCAAAATTGCATCTATGACCTAGGCACACTTCACAATAAGAAAGATATCATGGTCAAACATAAAAAAAATCCAACTTTATTAACATGAGTGAAAAAGATTATCTGCGTTATAAAATTTCCATTAGGAACTGCAAAGGCATTATTGTGCCTGGTTATCAGTATCCTCCGATACGTGCGAGTCATATATCAGCTAGAAACAGCAAAGAATCCAATCAATATTCAATACCAATTGATGTGTGTACACAATAGGAATCTGCATTCATAGTCTGTTGTGGACACAACCTTGAAACGGACTGAGCTGTGCAACCTGGTTTGCAAAACGCCTGTTAGGTTTTTTTGTTTTGTTTTGTTAAAAAGAGACAGAATCAGCTGAAGTCAGGTATTCCAAATAACTGAAATATGAATCACCACTGAGCAGCTCTAGCACACTATGTTGTTGGTCATGTCTCACCTCCTTTGTTCTTTTTTCTCTTTGCTTACGTCACTTATTTTTACTGATCATATATCCTATTATTTATAATCAGATTCAATTCATAATTGGGGAAATAGGTCTTCCAAAATTACGATCTGAATATTGGTTCGATAACCATGTTATTGAGCTTTCTCCAAAGAGATCTTACCTTTACACAGTGCTAAGTTTGCTCCCTTGTCAATTGGTGGTCACGGATTATAGTCATGGAAACGGCCTTTACACTGATAAGGCAAGGTCGTATACTCTGACCCTGTCCTATTTATGCAACGGTGTGAACCCTGTATGATAGAACTTAAGTCTGAGGGAATAGAAGGGAACTTCACATACTACCTGTAAATAACTATGAATGAAGTCTATATAACAAGGTTCGAGTTTTCCATGTACAAGTTCAATTGAAAAGAAGTGCTGATTTGGAAAATAAAGATCATAAACGGGTTGTATCCAGATTGTACCAAAACATTTGTAACCCTAAATTGACCTTTTTATCTGTTTGCCTGTTCAACTTGAAATGGGTAACCTGAATTTGAATGGCAAGATTTGCTATTCACACATATGTACACACCCTTTTTTTTTAACTTAAAAATGACACTGTTAAACTCTTGATACACACTTCCTTTTGAACCTGTCTTAAAGTTTGGTTGCTTTGGTTTCTATTACTACGGGCAAATATGGTTTTAGTGGTGTCGTGGTGGTATAGGAAAGTTCCATGGAGCAAGGTGTATTAGTCACAGGGGAGATTGGGAACTGAGGCAAAAGTAGGGGCGGTTGTAATGGAGCTTCATTAAGATTAGCAATGTAATAGAATTTTATTCAAGTCAAACTCTGTCCCAATATAACATAGATTTAGAGGTAAATGATCTATCTTTAGTCTAATAAATGATATTTCATTGTGATCCATGTAGTCCTAATGGGAAAATCCTGTCTTTGTTGTTTTCTGATAGGAATCTAGCTAAGGGGAATGGAAAATGGTTAGAAATATTGAAATGTAAAAAAAGGCTCTAAAGGACCACCTCCATTCTGTTTTATCCTCTATCTAGCTAATCCCCTTAACTTCCTTGGTAACTAATCTATAATTGTCCTTACCAACTCTTCCTGATCTCCTTCCCATGAAAATTTTCACCTGATTGATTCTTTAGAATCATCAAATGTTCTTTCTTTCAGTTTTTTTTTGTTCTGATGGATTATGTTGTTGGATGTTTTAATCTCATACCTGCACTTACCCCTCTGGTGATCTTGTCAAAATCCATAAATTTTCAGATAGTGGGTTAGCAATTTGAAATGATATCGTAGATCACCTTTGTTCTATTATTTTGCGGCTCTATAATAATACCCATTAATTCCATTAATCACTTTTATGGATTTTCATAAAGCTCAGTAGAGGTGAGTGATAAATCTGAAATGCACTGTATTTAATCCATATAGTTTCTTACAACCTCCAAGTATATTTTTCAATGAACCACTATCGTTTATTACTTTGATATCTAAACATTGAAAATAACTTTTGCTAGCAGGCAATATCTTAAAGATGAAATTTATTTTACTCAAGTGTTAATTGGAAAAAGTCTACTAAATTTTCTGAAACTGTGTGCTTTGCAGAAGGTGAAGATACATCCTGCTATGTATGAGGATCCTGTTGCTCTTAGTCACCAAGGTACAAAGAAATTGAGATGTAGTGAAAGGATTTCTATCGCTGTTAAATCTCGCTGCACTTGCTGCAATTCATATCCTGGTAATGGACATGGATGTCCTCTGGAGAAACCACCATCCAAACCAGGTGTAACCGGAAAAAAAAAATCAACTGCTAAACCTGTTGTAGCTGGAAAGAAAAAATCTAAGTCATATTGGGATGATGATCTTCATGAAACACTTGTTTCTATAGGTCATCGTTTTCAAGTGGAAGTCCCAGAATGGACTGGCGTAGCTTCTGAGAGTGACTCTAAATGGTTGGGCACACAAGTATGGCCTGTTAAAGATGATGACTCAAAAGCTACTACTGAAACAGATCTTGCTGGGAGAGGAAGACGAGGTAAGTGTAGCTGCAAAGTTCAAGGTTCTGTTGACTGTGTCAGATTTCATATTGCTGAAAACAGGATGAAACTGAAGCTTGAATTGGGTTATGTATTTTACCAATGTGGATTTGATCGAACGGGCGAGGGAGTTTCACTTCAATGGACAGCTGAAGAAGAAAAGAAATTCAAGGATTTAATGATGTTAAATATCCCCTCTGAAAAAAAGGCTTTTTGGAACAATTTTTGGAAGAATACATTCAAAAACTTTCAAATGAAGACAAGAAAAGACATGGTAAACTACTACTTCAATGTTTATCTTATTCAACAAAGAAGCTATCAGAATCGTGTGACTCCAAAGGATGTTGACAGCGATGATGATGGAGAAGAATTTGGATCATTTGGTGATGGATATGGGAGAAAAGCT